CATCTCTGCTCCCTATTTTAGAAGTAGTTTATTAGTATTTCCTCAGGTTAAGGAAGTTTCCTTCTGTTCAGAATGTGCTCAGATATTTTGTTTTGTGTTTCAAATCGTGAATAAATGCTTAAACTTACCCAGTGTTTTTTTTTTTCTGCTTCTATTGATACAATATTCACAAAGACTTTTTTTCTTCTTTAATTTGTTGATGAGCGGAATTACATTAGTAACATTTCTAATATTAAAGCAATCTCTGTTTCTGTATAAATCTAACTTGGTCGTGAGGAATTATATTTTTCTTTAAAAATATTGCACTATTATGTTTTCTAATGCTCTGAAATTTTTGTTAACTATGTTCATGTTTCTGATTAGCTTGTAATTTCCTTTTTCATACTTATTTTTTAATCTGTTCTCATAAAATAAATAGGAGAGTTTCTCTTTTTTTCTCTCCTCCGAGAGAGTTTGTACAGGACTGCACAGTGATCTCTTTCCTTTGAGTGTCTGGTAGAACTCATTTGCAAAACCAAATACTATTGGTGTTTTATTCATATCATGTATTTATTTTTAAAATATGGAATTCTCATGAATTTGCATGTCATACTTGCACAGGAACCATGCTAATCTTTTCTGTATGGCCCCAATTTTAGTATATGAGCTGCCAAAGTGAGCCTGTCATTTTATTTATTTTTAATGGTTATAGGGCCATTCAGGTTTTCTATTTCTTCCCAAGTTAGTTTTGGCAAGTTCTGTTTACTTATTCACTTCACCTTAGTTTTTTCTTGTTTTGGGCATAAAATTGATCATAATGTTCTTATTATCTTTTTTGATCTCTGCAACATCTATATTAATATCTCCCCGTTATTATTCATAGTCTTTACTTATGTTGTTTATTCTGTTATCTTAACAAATTTTGCCAGAACTTTTCAAAGTACTAAAGTTTGGTTTTGCTGCTCTTCTCCTTATTAAATCATTGTCTTCTGTTTCATTAATTTCTTCCTTTGTCTCTACTGTTTCCTTTCTTTAATTATCTTTGAGTTTATTTTGTTTTCTTTTTAACTTCCTAAATTGGCTGTTTAAATCATTACATTTCAAATTTGCTTTTAAAAATATGAGCCATTAAGGTCATATATTTCCTTTTGAGTGGCGTTTTAGTGGCATCCTATAAGCTTTGATGTACAGTATTTTCATTGTCGTTTACCTTAAAATGTTTTCTAATATCCATAATTATTTTTTCTTCATCCTATGATCTATTAAAAATGTTTACAACTATGTAAGAGTTTTGTTATTATTTAATTTTGTTGTAGTCAGATAATTATTCTGTATGAAGCATATTCAATGCCTTGAAATATGCTGATACATACTTCTTAGCCTAATACATGGTCAGCTTTTTAAATGTTCCATATGTGCTTGAAAGGAATATGTACTCTCTAGTTGTTAGATACAGTGTTCTAAGCATTTTGTGTTTCCCAAATATTAATTACTATTTTATCATAGCTTAATCTGTAAATTTTGATAGAGGTATATTATACATTTTCTGCTCTAACGATTATTTATCAATTTTTCTCTGTAGTTCTGTCAACTTTACATATTTTTAAAGCAGGGTTATTTGGTACATACAAATGTTAAATGTATCTTTCTGGTGAACTGAACTGTTTATCAAAATATGGTGACCATATTTATCTTTAAAGATGGTATACTTTGGCTGGGCGTGGTGGCTCATGGCTGTAATCCCAGCACTTTGGGAGGCTGAGGCGGGTGGATCTGAGGTCAGGAGATAGAGACAATCTTGGCTAACAAGGTAAAACCCTGTCTCTACTGAAAAAAAAAAAAAAAAAAAATTAGCCAGCTGTGGTGGCAGGTGCCATCTACTCAGGAAGCTGAGGCAGGAGAATGACATGAACTCAGGAGGCAGAGCTTACAGTGAGCCGAGATCCCACCACTGCACTCCAGGCTGGGCAACAGAGTGAGACTCTATCTCAAAAAAAAAAAAAAAAAAAGTTGGTATACTTTTGCTTATAGCTACTCAGATTTCTTTCAGTTAGTATTTGCTGGGTACATCTTTTTTTCCTTCCTATGCTTTCAAAAATTATGTTCTTAACATTTTAAGTCTCTTGTAAAAACATTTGTTTGGATTTAAAAAACCAAGCCTGACAATCTTTGTATTTTTTTAATTGGCCAATTTATTCCATTTATATTCACTGTAATTACTGATTTATTTTCATTCATTTCTTCCATCTGTTTTTCTGCTTTACATTTGTCCCATTTTTTTCTAAATTTTCCCCCCTCTCTTTTCTTGTTTTAAGTTGATTTCTTTTTCTCATTCTCTTTCCTCCATACCATATGGAATCTCTACCTTCTGTTTTTTAAGTGATTATCCGAGGCATTTTGACATGCATATTTAGCTTTAAAAAGCCCAGTGGCAGGAGTCCCTCTCTCTCTTACTTGACTTGCCCCCCATGCTGTGCATAAGCTCGGATGAAATACCAAACTGGGATTCCCATGCTGTGTAGACTCTAGTATAGATTACTTTTAATGGCAAAATCTGCAATTACTTTTGCACCAACCTACCACTTGCAAAGATTCTAGTAGGTTTAATCTTCTTCAACCCCCTTCACGGTCCCATGGCCCCTCTTTGCCCTGAGCCAGAACACTGGAAGCCAGTGGATGCTAATGGGGTTATAGGTGTGTATAACACGGCGTCTGCTGAACAGTAAGTGTTTGTGATAAACATCTTGTTTTCACATTTCCATCCTCCATTCCCCTTCTCATGCTAACAGCACCTTGATTCTTCTTTGGAATTCGACCTTCCCCACTTTTTGTCCTTGTAGATTAGGTGGAGTTGACCTATTTCCCTTTGCCCTGGCTTCAGGGTTGGGTACGTGACAGTTGGTTTCGGGGATAGACATATGACCCAATCCAGCTGATGAAACTGAAGCCTGGAGCTTTTTGTTGGAATAGTAGGAAAGGGATATACTTTTCCACTGGGTCTGCAAAGATGTTAAGATAGAAGCTTGCACCCACTGGTGGCTCTATGGGAAGACTCCACCTGAGGATGAAGTCAACACAGTGGAAAGCCGAGTTGAAAGTTGGAGAAAGACAAATTCCTGAGGACATTTGAGCCCTTGGGTCCTGCCACGCTTGAAGCTACTCTTAGTCTCTTCAGTTCTATGAGTCAGTTACCTATCTCCCAAACTCCATCCTCTTGTAACTGGGTTTCTGCTACTTGCAGTTAAGAGGGTTCAGACTAATCACATTCCTAACTAAATGTCATTTGAATCTGAATCTCGTGTTTTTACATGGACAGTGTTATAATATGTTCAGCCACCAGGGGACAGGACCCGGTTTCAGAGCTACTGGGCGTGGGTAGCTTTGCTCAGCCCCGCTCTGAGCCTCGGTTTTCTCATCTGTGAAATGAGTTAATAATAGCAGCCTCACAAGGCTAATGTGAGGACAATGGATGATGAATGCCAGTGCCCCTTCCCATTTCCCTCCACTGCTTATCATACAAATGATCAGACAGAACCACCATCTGTATGTGTTACCCTGCTATTTCTTGCATCTGTGCCTTTGCACAGATTTTGTTATTCACACTGCTTTAAATTCCTGCATTTTCTTCTTTGCTGGTCAATTTATCCTGTGTCTTTATTTTTTTTTTTTTTTTTTTTTTTTTGAGACAGTCTTGCTTTGTCGCCCAGGCTGGAGTGCAGTGGCACGACCTCAGGTCACTGCAACCTTCACCTCCTGGGTTCAAGCAATTGTCCTCCCTCAGCCTCCTGAGTTTACAGCCTCCTGAGTTTACAGGTTTAATCCCCTCCTGGGATTACAGGTGCATGTCACCATGTCCAGCTAATTTTTTTTTGTTATTTTTAGTAGAGACAGGGTTTCACCATGTTGGTCAGGCTGGTCTCAAACTGACCTCGTGATCTGTCTGCCTCTGCCTCCCAAAGTGCTGGGATTACAGGTGTGAGCCACCATGCCTGGCCAATTTCTCCTGTTTCAATACTCTGCTCAGTATCATCTCCTCTAGGCAGCTGTCTCTGAGGTCTCCCAGAATTACTGGTTCCCTCCTGGCTCCTGCAGCCCCTTTGCCGAGGCACTTATGTCCCTGGGTTAGGTGTCAGCTTACTTGTCTGTCTCCTGGACTAAACAGGAGTGTCATAAAGGCAGGCATTGGATCTTTCATCATCTACCTTGTCCAAGTTTATAGTAGGTGTTCATGTGTGTTAACGAATGAATGAGAACCCCAATAAATCTCAGTTTGGATAGTGATTCTCCTGTCTTCTGACTTCCCAATTTCACAGATGGTCAGAAGCAGTTGAGCTTCTCCCCGGCTGTTTCCAGTAGCCGGTACCCACTTTCTGGCTTCATTTCACCATCTACCTTCTCACCACCAGCCTGTAAGAGTCTTGTGGGCAGGAGCCCCGGAGGGAGATAGTGAGGGAGGTTTACCACTTCAACAAACATCTGAGCAGCAACTGTGTGCTAGGAGTGAATGGGAGGAGGTGTGAGATTCAGAACCAGGAGTCCTGCATTCTGTCTGAGCCTTCCTCATCCACCGCTGCTGGGTCTCAGACAACTCCATCCCCCTCCGTTCCTCAGTCCCTCTCCACATCTGTACAACAGGAGCAGTCCTGAAGAAGAGGCTGTGAAAGCCATGAGATGAGATGGGAGAAGTGGAATGTTTTGAAATTTCAGGGAATCCTTCTCTTTCTCCGCCTTTGTAAATGTTTTGTCCCTGAGGGTCCCTAAAAACTGACAGTAGCTCACGCCTGGAATCCCAGCACTTTGGGAGGCTGAGGCGGGTGGATCACGAGGCCAGGATATCAGATCGAGACCATCCTGGCTAACACAGTGAAACTCCGTCTCTACTAAAAATACAAAAAATTAGCCGGACGTGGTGGCAGCGCCTGCGGTCCCAGCTACTCGGGAGGCTGAGGCAGGAGAATGGCGTGAACCCGGGAGGCAGAGCTTGCAGTGAGCCGAGATCGCGCCACTGCACTCCAGCCTGGGAGACAGAGAGAGACTCTGTCTCAAAAAAAAAAAACAAAGCACAAACAAACAAACAAACAAACAAACAAAAACCTGACAGTAGAGGGACTGTGTGCTGAGGCTCTGGGCTGATCCTGTACTGAACAACACACGGAAACCCCAGACTGAGAGGGTCAGTTTCATCCTGGGAACTGGGTCACCAGGATGTCACTCCTTTAAGAGGAAATGAAAGTGCAGGAGGTTGGGGAGAAGAGGGGTTGGCTCCTATCCTTGGGGCCAGCCACAACCCACCTCCCGAGAGATCTTTCTTACTGCCTTAGGCTTTTGCAAAAATTGGGGGGGACCCTTTTCTCTAGACCATACCTATTTTTTGGTTGTTTTAAAATATGCCGTGGTGGAAATTTCAGGACACAAAGTCACCTGGAGACCAATCACGGTGTTCTTTTCATTCCCCCTTGTTTTCTGCCACAAACCAACATTACCCAATATGCCCAAATGCCCACACTGCAGCCCTCTGCTCATGAAAGGAATTCTTTTCTCAAGGCCTTCTCCTGGTTTTCTGGAAGTAAGCACAGAGGGTTTGCCCGCCCTCAGGGTCTGCTTTAAAGAAGTGGACACTGAGGGGCGGTGGGAATGGCAGGGATCCCCCTTTAAGGCAGGGCTCACTTCTTCCTGCGTTAACAGGCAGCATGAGCAGGCCGCTGAGCAGGCCGGGGAGACTCCCAGCAAGAACTTTGCAAACATCCTGGGTTTGCTTTTGCACCCAGTGAGGTGAAATGAACCCCGTGGGACTTACTTGAGATGAACAGTTGTCAGTCACAGGCCTTAACCCCTTTTTAATATCTTCCATGATAAAGCGAAAGTGAGGGTCTGGGAGCTTTAGGCCCACAAAGGGAATTGTGATGAGGGAGCTCCTGGGACCCCTATCCCTGAACACTCCTGAGCTACAGCCTCGGACCTGACCTGGAGGCTGCCAGAGGGAGGGGCTGGCTGTGACTCTAGCAGGATCCCTGAATTTGCTGGTGAATGAATAAATGCCTGGCAAGAAGTAGCATTTACTGAGTGTTCCCGTTCTGGGGCCTGAGCTAGGTGTTTTGCATCTTTTTTCTGTTTAACTTTCTCAATGGTACGATAAAGCGAGAACAGGTGTGTGCATTTAACAGACCATGAACGTGAGGCTCCACATAAGTAAGAGCTGCCCCAGGTCACGCAGTAGCAACTCTCAAATCTGAACCCAGGGCTATCTGACTTCAAAGCACGCTTCCCTCCCACGATGACATGCTGCTTCCTGTGGGGCAGGCTAAATGGATCAGGCAAAACGGTACAGAGGGATAATACGAGGGACACGGAGATGATCTGGGCAGGGCTGCTGGTCTCCAGCAACTCAAGGGTGAAAAAACGTTTGGGTTAATTGTTGCAGTGTAAAAACAGAACTGCCTGTGTGATAACAGGAGCCTGTAAGCGAGCGTCTGCAGGTAGGTGTGCCAGTGTACGCACAGCCGTAAACTACACACAAGGGCAGGTCTGCTTGCACACAAGAGCGTGTGTGTGCTCCAGTGCCTGCGTGTGCATGGGTGTGTTGCCCGTGTGAGTGGGCGTGCACCAGCAAGACTGTGTGGCACAAAAGCCATTTCTGGCTCTGGAGTTCACGGGAGGCTACATGGAGCAGGTGGCGTTTGAGTTGGGCCTGTTGCCATGAGGGGTGTTTGGGAAGGTGGGTAAGGCTCTTCAGGCAGACAGCAGCCTGAGCTCTGGGGTATTCTCTGAGAACAGGGAATGGCCTATCTCAGCCGAAGAGGAAGAAGCATGGGGCGGAAGAAGATGAGAATGGCAGAAGGGATTCTGTAGTTGGAGCATGAAGGTCTTGATTGAGGAATTTGTGTGTGATCTGGCAGGCACTGGGGAGCCACTGAAGGCTGTAGAGCAGGGAGAGTGTTGTGAATTGAACAATGACTGGACTCAGTCTGTGACCGGGATGGCCCTTCTTCAAATTCTATGACTGCATGGGGCGGTGAATATCCCAGTAGGGGAATGGGGAAGGGAGCTTGCCTCTCTGGCAAAGCATATTCACTCACTGCTGGGAGAGATGAGGCTGCAGGGGAGTGGGTCTGGGCAACTTTCATGGGCATCCTCTTTAAAGGTAAAACTTTAGGCAAAATGTGTGACTCAGCACGGTCTTTGAGCATGCACCGGGTGCTCAGCCTGGGATCCCCCACGCCACCAGCAGTCATGCTAGCGGGGACTTTACAGAAGAGAGGACTGGCCTTCCCTGGGGTTGAACGCCCTGACCAAAGTCACACAGCTGGTGAGCAGAGGAACCGGGCTCCTGCCACCTCCGCTAGGCGCAAAGCCTGGGCTGAGCCCTAAGAACTACCACGCAAGGCCACCGTCCGCTGAGCTCCTGCTGCACTGTGGCCCGTCTCTAGCATTTTCTATGTCTTAACTCAGTTCCTTCTCACTCCAACCCCATGGGGCAGGTGCTGAGATTCTCCCCGTCTTATAGAAGAGGAAGTTAAGGCACAGAGAGGTTAGAAGACCTGGCAAGGGGGTCACACAGCCAGTAGGCGGCGCTGAGTGTGTTGCAGACCCTCCGGTGGAAGAAGTGAAGGCGTGGGAGCCCTACTTCCTACGAAGTCCCTCCCCCACCTCCCTGCCATCCACTTCCTGCTACTGACCTAGGATTGCTGGTAATAAAACCACAAGAGTATGCATGGAGGAGGCCCTTAACATCCACACTGTCGCTTAAGTTTTACAACATCCACGGGATCGATATGATAGATATTTATCCTGTTCTTATCTCTAACAGATGAGGGCGTCTTGGCCCAAAGAACTTCAGTCACTTGCCCAGGACTCACAGTGAGTGGCGGAGTCTTGCGAAGTCCAGGTCGGCCCCATGGCAAAGTGGGGGGGCTCCCCGCCTTATAATGCACAAGGCCGAACTCAGAGGGGGCCCAGAGTTGGCTCACGCTGCTCCAGAATCGGGGTCACACTCAGGTCTCCCAAGTCCTGGACTGTGTTTGCCCTGCCCAGCTGCTCGAACTTTTCAATAACTGCCACTTTCAGATGGGCTGACTTCACGCGCCCTCTCCTCAAAACCGTGAAATGTTTTTTTCAAACTGAGGGAAACCCCCAGGCTCCTGCCCACTCATGCCAACGGCGGCTCACACACAGGCAGTTCTCAGTATCAGTCACGATCCTTCATTACATCCCAGCTCTGAGACGCAGGCGAAGTGTCACGCCCATTTTGTAGATGGGGAAACTGAGGTTCAGAGAGGCCTACTGTTTGCCCCTGGGCCTTGAGCAGTGCCTGGCAGAGCTGGGAATTGCCTGGGCCTGTTGAGCGCTGTGTCCTGCGTGTAGGCCCTGAATTGCCGTGCCAGTTTCTTTGGTTTGAGACCTTTACTGGCTCTGTAGCCTCTGAATGGCTCAGGCCTTGGACCTGGGGACCTCTCAGACGGTTCCTTCTCAGCCCCTTCGAGGATTCCTCTCCCCTCTTCCCTGTCCCCTCGCCCATCCTTAAATGCTGGTGACCCCTTCTCCGTGCGGTCTATGCCCTCTGCCTTAGTCTGCCGCCCCCACAGCACTTCTAGGGCCCTCTTGCTGATGTGGCTCCGAGGAAGTAATAACCTGATGGGGCTGGCAGCAGGGAGGCCCCCACAGCCTGTCTAGAAAACAGCGAGGCGAAGTGTGGCAAAAGGCTTCAAATACCCTCCCCTTTAGCCAGTAATTGTTTCCAGAAATTCCGTTTCTAGGGAAATAATCTGAAAGAAACAAAGTGTTCCCTGCATGAAGATGTTTATCATAGAGTGAAGAAGAGACAACAGCCAGATGCAACAATAGGGAAGGGTTTTCTCGCACCTACTCCCGCGCCAGCTGGTGTACCCCCTGGGGCTCACCGTGTGCTGGACACTGTTCTCCAGCCTCTATATTATTATTTCCTTTAATCCTTGTAACAACTTTTTGAAACAGGTACTAGTAACATCCCCTTTGACAAGTGAAGAAACCGAGGCTTGGAAAGGTTAATCAGCATGCCCAAGGTCAGCCAGCTCGCTAAAGTCTGACTCCACCAGCCTCAACTGTTACCAGGGTAGCGATGGTTAGTAGTCACCATTACCAGGTAATTGTTGGGAGAGGGTCAACGTGCTGGGCAGCGTGAGATGCTTGTCAGGTGGGGCAGGCTGGGCTGGACTTTGCAATGCAGGGAGACGGCACGGCTCCTGGCCCTGGCTTGTCTGTGTCATCGGCACTGGCCCTGCCACTCAGGCAGCAATGGCAGGTGAAGGCAGAGACAATTTCTTAAGTCCCAAACAGAAACGGTGGAGAGAGAGCCAATGGCTTTAGGTTTGCAGGAGCCCCTGCGAGCCGTTCCCCACCAGCCAGGGTGAAGGGGGCACCACGTGGGGAGTGGGGTGGTGGGCTGAGTTCAGTGCTAGGCTAGGCCCTGCTTCCTACTCCCAACACTCTCCTGTTGGGTCAAAACCTGGATGGCAGGGGAGCGGGAGTCACTAGAAGGCGAGTTTGGGGGGTCTGAAAGCACAGAGGCTGTGCGTCACTTCCCATCTAGAAGCTCAGCACAAGGCTGTCTCAGAGGAAGGGGCCCCTGCAGGGGAACAGAAATAGCAGCTAGGAGGCCTCACGCTGTACCCCAGTTCCTCCTTCCTCTCCTCCACAGGGGCTGCAGGAGATCGTTAAAATCTCCCAGATCCCACAGTGAGCCTCAGCACATGGCTGAGCCTTGGGGACTGCCTGCTAGGGTGTCCTGGCCCTTCTTCAAATTCTATGACTGCATGGGGCGGTGAATACCCCAGTGGGGGAATGGGGAAGGGAGCTTGCCTCTCTGGCAAAGCATATTCACTCACTGCTGGGAGAGATGAGGCTGCAGGGGAGTGGGTCTGGGCAATTTTCATGGGCATCCTCTTTAAAGGTAAAACTTTAGGCAAAATGTGTGACTCAGCACGGTCTTTGAGCATGCACCGGGTGCTCAGCCTGGGATCCCCCACCCCACCAGCAGTCATGCTAGCGGGGACTTTACAGCAGAGGGGACTGGCCTTCCCTGGGGTTGAACGCCCTGACCAAAGTCACACAGCTGGTGAGCAGAGGAACCGGGGTCCTGCCACCTCCGCTAGGCGCAAAGCCTGGGCTGAGCCCTAAGAACTACCACGCAAGGCCACCCATAGCAGAGGCGAAGGCCTGCAGGGGGATGTAGCTGGCTTTGGACAGTGCCAGGGAGAGCCCAGGAGCCGGCCAACTATGTCCACGCGGCTGCCATGGATAGAGAAGCTGGCAAGACAGGTCTGGAGTGGCCCAGAGAATGCCACTGGGGCCAGACAGCCTCTGGGGACTTACACTGGGGGGATGCAGGTGGGGAGGGGAGAGAAGCCTGCATGGACTGCGTGCCATTTCCAAAGCCACCATGTTTACTACTGGAAGTGGCTGAGCTCCCTGACCTGGAAAATTTAAGTTTTTCCATCATCTGTGAAGTGATGGCCTATAAGGTCCCCGAGCAGAATAAAACAAAGTATCTTACGCCTGGGCACGTCCAGGTGTGCGTGCCAAGCTCCACTACTGGGGCAAGGGCGCTCACTCAACTGTTCCTTCTCCAGCCCTGGGAGGGAGGCGCTGGAATGATCAGCTCCATTTTTCAGATGAAGAAGACACAGAGTTTGAGAGAGAGGAAGTCACTTGCCCCATGTCAGCCAGCCAGCCAACTGGGGAGGTCGGCCTTCAGAGCTCTGGCAACAGACCGCCGCCATGTCATAGATGGCTTCCCAGTTTGTGAGAGTGTCTCGTAAGGGACGAGTGAACGGGGGAGACAGCAGGAAACTCAGCAGCCACAACAGGGAGAGACTTGCTGCCTGCTCAGGAACGAAGACCAGGTGGAACGAAAGCAGGGCAGAACAAGAGCGTGTGCATCCTCTTACCACCGTGATACTCAGGCCATGTCTGCACCCACACCAAGATGGGAAGGGAGCGTCGAGCTGGGACTTCAGGGACTAGGAAGGATGGCAACAGACATGGGGTTCTCTATGACTTTCCATTTTATCTTCCATTTTCACAGTAAGTTTTAAAACTCTGTGTCTCCAGATTCAGCATGAGAAGGAGAAGTTCCCTGAATCCTCTGGGCATTGGGGACAGCCCTGCCACCCACCCTGACAGTGTCCCTGGGTGACAAAGGGATGTGGTCAGTCCTCACATGAGGAGGGACTGAGTGTCCTCCATGGACCTGCGACCTCCCGTCTGTGAGGCCCCCGCTACCTTCTGCAGCTTTCTGCATGGATCAGAGACAGGAGAAGCAGGCACACTGATGGCTGTGTAGCACCACTTGCCAGTTTGGGGCAGTCGGGACCACCTCGACTCCCTATCTCCAGGCAGGGCGGGGAGGGAACGGTCCTCCTACCCCAGGAGAGCCTCAAGGGCTGTGTACGCCCTGCAATGCAGGCACACCCCCTTCCACTCTCTGAATGCTCTGCCACAAACAGCCACTGCGAGTGTAATGAACACCCCAAAACAGGGAGCCCTGTGACTCACCACTGCTGCTTCAGGGACAGGGACAGCTGCCAGAATTCTTAGCTCTCTTTTACAGATGGGGAAATTGGGACTCAAGAGGGGGATGCGATCTCTCCAAGCTCACACAGCCAATCTGTGGCAGGGAATGAGGAAGTCTGGTCTGGTCTCCTGTCCCCATGGCTGGGGCTCTCTCAGCAGTCCCGCCCTGGGCCCAGCCTGCACCCTCACCTGCCCCTGACTCCCGGACCGGCAACTCAAGTCGTGACAAGGACACGCTTTACTGAATTTGACAGACTCATTAGTATGAAAAACACGTTCCTCACCACCCTTGCCAGAAGATTCTTGACACAACACAGTTGGGGGGTTGGCATGCGCTCTCCGTTGTTAAGTATTTATATATAGTTAGTGTTGGAATGGTCCCCAGACACCGATCCAAGTCTCCCGTTTTCAGATGGGGGGCACCAGGCTTAGGGTCAGGACCCCCCTGGAACAATTCAGTAGCACAGCTGAGACATGCATCCACAGAGCCTGCCCTGAACTTTCCAGCTGCTCCTTGGCAAATGGGCCATGGGGAAAATAAATAAATAAATAAAGGCTGCCGCTTACGAAGCATTTGCTGTGTGCCAGGCACTTTGCATAAATCGGTGCTAAATCTTATCCTAGTTCTCTCAGGGAGGCATTTTTATCCCCATTTTGCAGATGAGCATGCTGAGGCTCAGAGAGGGCAAGCCACCTGCCCAAGGTCACACAGCCAGGGGCTGGAAATGGCACACATTTCTTCCCCCACGCCAGGGTTGGCAAACGATAGCCCACAGGCAAATTGAGCCCACCACCTGTTTTTGTCGAAATGGTTGAAAAATAATAGAATAACATTTTGTGACCCTGTGAAAATGATATGCAGCTCAAATTTTTGTGTTCATAAATACAGTTTTATGAGAACACAGCCATCTCCATCCATTTATGTACGGTCTGTGGCTGCTTTCACCCTACAAGGGCAGAGCTGCGGCACTGCAACAGGGATCAAATGGGCTGCACAGCCTAAAATATTTGCTATCTGGCCCTTTGCAGGAAAAGCTTTCTGACCCCTGCCTTTTGCTGGGCTGTCTCCTGAAGGGTCTGGAAAGTATGCAGCCCCCATACGGCTGTGCAGGCCGTTCTCTGCACAAAGGCATCAGGTGAAGGGGGCAAGGGCCTGCCGTGAGCCCTTCCTCTGCTTGCCAGGCTGTGCACCCCAGGCCGGGTCCCCTGGAGGAAGGGCCTTTTCCTCATTTGTTCACCTTTCTGTGCTTTTTTTTTTTTTTTTTTTTTTGAGATGGAGTCTGGCTCTGTCACCCAGGCTGGAGTGCACTGCAACCTCTGCCTCCCAGGTTCAAGCGATTCTCCTGCTTCAGCCTCCCGAGCAGCTGGGATTACAGGCACGCACCACCACTCCCAGCTAATTTTTGTATTTTTAGTAGAGATGGGGTTTCACCATGTTGGCCAGGCTGGTCTCAAACTCCTGACCTTAGGTGGTCCACCGCTTCAGCCTCCCAAAGCGCCAGTATTACAGGCGTGAGCCACCACGCCCAGCCGCCATGCTCCTTCTTAAGGGTACAAATGTACTAGCAGTGGCCCCGAAGGCATGGTGCCCCTTCCCGCCCCATCTCGGTCCCTGGGAAGGTAGCACCTTCAGACCCGCTCAGAGGGAGCCAGGAGGTGTAGATCAGGGCAAAGGCAGGGCAGGGGAGGGGAGGAGGGGTTCACAGGTAGAAGCCAGAGTCTCCAGATGGCTTCCAGTCACCATCCCCAGACCCATGTAGGAAGGTTCTCTACCTTTCAGTGACTCCTGGGGGGCCACGATTTATTCTCCTTGACTTTTGAGGCTGTAAAGGGCTTCCCACCTCCTCTCTGCTCTCCTTCCCCTGACTTCCTCTCCAGGAGTGGGAGGGGCTCTCACTCCCCAAACTCTCTGAAGAGACAGAAGAGGAAGAGGATTAACTGTGTGCTGGCGCGGTTGCTCCGCGTGGCTGCTGTGCAGAAGTGCAGGCCCTGAGAAGCTGGGCGGGCAGGGATTGGGGCCCCGGTGGCCCAGGGTGCAGCCTCGAGCTCTCCACCCAGGGCCTGCAGAGGCCACGAGCCGCCCTAAAGCCCAAACACTTGGGGAAGGAAAAATGGGCCCTTGGAGGGAAGAAAGGGAAGGAAAGAAGAAACAGGGGAAGGAAAAATCACAGCACAAAGGATGGAAGAAGGAGGCAAAGGAAAAAAAGGCGGAAAATAAAGATAGCACCGTGGCAATGTTACGCTAAGTGAGGGAGCCAGGCACAGAAGAGCACCTGTTCCATGAAATGTCACACAGGCAGGTCCAGAGAGGCCGAAAGCAGACACGTGGCCACTTCAGTGTGAAGGTGCAGGGAGTGGAGCGCAGGGAGTGTGGGGGTCAGCTCACAGGTGCAGGGCTTCTTTCAGGGGGTGGTGAAATGTTCTAAAACGGATTGTGATTGTAGATGCACAACTCCATGCACATACTAGAAACCACTGAACTGTCCACTTCAAACAGGTGAATTCTATAATATGTCAAATGTAGCTTGAAAAAAACTTACAATAAAATGGAAAGAAAAAGGAAAGCAGGCAGGCAGACAGACAGGAACAAGAAAACGAAATGGATGGTGAAGAATGAAAATTCTCATTTGCTGAAATACCTGTCACATGCCAGGAATTATGCTCAATGTCTGTGCCCTTTACGCCTTTTCTGACTTTTCCAAGTAAGTCTGATGATTATCAGCATTTTACAGTAAAGAAGCTGCAGCTCAGACTGGAGAGTGACTTGCCCGAGGTCGTCAAACCAGTAAGTGGTGGGGCCATGACTCATGCCAGGCAGGCCCACCCTCCAGCAGCCCAGGAGAGCACCCCCAGCAGCTGTGAGACAGGGCTCCAGCTTCACAAGGCAGCCAGAAGGTTCCTGGGTGGCGGGGCCAGCCGGGGCCCCTGACTGTGGGGTGAGCTGCCCTGGGCGTAATGCAAAGGGCACTCATAGAGGCCGGGCAGGAACACTGAAACCTCATGCTAAAGGGAGCATTTCAGTAAAGCTGAATGTATAAGTGAACAAGCTGGGGCTCTTGAAGGGGGTGAACACATTCAGGCCCTTAAGGAAACTTATCTTCTGGGCAACAGCTCTTCTTGAGAAGCGTGTGTATCAGACACGTGGCTGCAGCCTCATCTTCTGAGATTGGATTTGGAGCAAAAGATAAAGTCAGTCTTGCTCCTCAAGCTGTGCCCCTGACTTCTGGCCAAACCAGGACATGCCGTGGCGATGCTGTGGACACAGCCCAGGTTGTTGGGAACTCCGGATTCCAATCCTGACTCAGAAGCTTGCTGTCTATGCTATTGGCCAGAAGTCGCACCACCTTCCAGGGTTCATCTGTGCTGGAGCTGGAGAGGGGTTAGGCTGTTCCCACCCCACGGTTCTGTGATTCAGAGCTGGTGCTGGGTTCTGCCAGGAAACCTGCCCCGATGCCAGTATTTGCAGGGAGGCGTATCATGCCATCCAAGCTAAAAACGGGAACCAGGAATCTCTGAGTTCTTATGAGGTTTCTGGAACTTCTCTCTTAGAGACGTGGTTTCCTGATCTCTACCGTGGGGGTGGGTTCACTTCTCAGGGTTCTTGGGGGTCTATAACAAGACATTCACTCATTCATTTATTCAACTAGCAATATTCCTGGGCCTGTTCTGTGCCAGGCACAGTGCCACGTGTTAGGGTCTAGTAGTGAACAACACAGACAGGGGCCTGTCCTATGGAGCTTACGGTCTAGGGGGAGCAGACATTAAACCAATAGGGTAAGTCAAGAGGGGGAAGAAGAGGGCCTGGGCTGAGGGGAGCCTGCGTGGGGTTAGACACCATGTGGGCTGAAGGGAGCCAGAGGAGCAGGAGAGGAGGTCGTGGCAGGGCAGGGCCTTGGAGATGGGAATAAGAATTTGCTGTTTTACTCTAAGCAATAGGAGAAGTGGAGTATAATCCAACTTATGCCTGAAAACCTCACAGAGGGAAGGAAAGCAAATTCAGGGAGCCAGTCAGGGGCCAGTTGGGATGCTGAGCTGATGGGGTGACAGAAGAAAAGCTGGAAGGAGTGGGGAGGCACCAGCTGTGACTCCAGCCCTCCAGACATCAGGAGTAGTGAAGCCACAGGCACAGGCCCAGGGAGTGTATAGGCATGAGGAAGGGCCACGCCCGGAGACCGTGATAGCCCAGGTGCTAATGAATATTATCTCCCGCCTTGGGAGATTACCATGAACAAGTGAATGGGTGGGGAAAGGGCTCAAAGAGACCTAGGCAGGGGTCCAGAAACACAGGGTTCTCCTCCCAGCCTTTCCTGAGTTTGCTTCACACCTCAGACAGGTCACTTGCCTCCCTGGTCCTCATTTTCCCCATCTGGTATGTGTAGGGCTAGCACTGAGGTGACAGTCAAAAACAGGGCCAAGTTCAAATCCAGAGAGCATTTCACCCTAGAGTCTAGGCTTTGGGATCAGAGAGACTCAGGCTCAAATTCTAGCTCTGCCACTCATTAAGGCTGGCGGCCCAGGCCAGCTCCTCTGTTTCTGGGAGTCCCCTGCGGGTGGGGGCCACACTGTGAGAATGCCTGCTGCAGAGTCACATTCCTATGAGAAGAGGGCCTCAGACTTGCTCACTGCTCTACCGCAAACAGTGCTGGCAGGTGGCAAGTCCTTGGTAAATGCTTCTCACTGGGCTCTGGGTGGTTTATTCTGGCTGGGGCAGAGGGTGGTGGATGGGGCTGGGGAGGTGGCAGGAAAGGCAGCAAGACGGTAGGCAGGGGCCAAATCAGGGGGGGCCAGAGGGGGGACTTGCGGGAGGCTGAATAATGGCCCCCAAATGTGTCCACATCTAATCCCTTGAGAATGTTACCTTACGCGGCAAAATGGACTTTGCAGATTCGATGACGTTACGAAATTTGAGCTGGGGCTCTAGAGTAGCATGGGTTACCCAGGCGGGCCTCAGTGCAATTGCAAGTGTCTTTCTAACAAGGAGGTAGAGGGAGAGAGCTGGCTACAGCAGAGCAGAAGGTGACGTGACCTTGGAAGCAAAAGGCTGGAGTGATATGAGAGGGGCCCTAAGCCAAGGCATGCAGGCTAACTACAAGTGGGGCAAGGTAAGGAAAGGGAGGCTCTCTGGAAGCCTTCAGAAGGAACCAGCCCTGCTAACACCTTGATCTCAGACATCTGGCCTTCTGAATTGCAACAGAATAACGTGTGTTATGTTTGGCCACTAGGCTGGTAGGGATTTGTTATGGCAGCCACAGGAAATGGACACAGGGCTACCTATGTGCAGGCGGCCGTGGGAGGCAGAGGAGAGTCCTGAGCAGGGCACTACACTGAGATTCATGATTTAGGGAGCTCACTGTGAGTGACGGAGCAGACAGGGAGAGGCTGGGAGCAGGGGTATCTGAGAGCAGACAGGGGAGAGGTGATGAGGGGTGATGAGGGACAGATGGTGTCTGCCCATAAGGCAGACAGCAGGTTCTCGAATGGTGGGACCAGCCGGGGCCCCTGACTGTGGGGTGAGCTGCCCTGGGTGTGCTGCAAAGAGCACTCATAGAGGCCGGGCAGGAACGTTGTGGGGGGGCTGCTAGTTGGCCACAGGGAAGGGAGGACCAGCCAGCTTGGTCACTCTATCTTCTGGAGTCACCCCTTGGCCGATGGTGCCCCCACCCCACCCAGGGCAGGCTGGCTCAGTTCCCTTTGGAATTCTTGGCTCAGGCAGACAGCCCAATCTTGGCAGTGATAAGGGCTCTGGGTCAGTGCGGGTTTGACCCCAGACGGAGAGCTGGAAGGACATGCTATCAGCCAGCAGGGAAACTGGGAGCCGAGCTTATCGAGGGACACATGAGGCCCTGATCGCCCTGGCAGTCTTGGTGGGAATATCAACCTCTGGCTGTTCTTGGCTACCTCCGCCCTCCATGCCCTCAACCACGGTGTGGGGCCCTCTGACTGGCTCCCCAACCCTTCTCTGCCAAAGCCCTCTGCCCCTGCAGCACTGGAGGACAGACCACAGCTGTGCCCTCCAGGAGCATGGGCCCTGGACTCGGCTCTGGCCCTGCCTCCATGGCTGCATGCATGACCCGGGCAGGCACCGCCTCTCTGCTGGCCTTTGTTTCTTCACAGCCCCTCACCCAGGGTGCCCGCAAGGATCAGAACAGGAGATGGACACTCACACCCTGCAGCATGCCGGGCACCCAGAGGACAGTCTATGGCAGGCGCTGCTATTTCTGTTGTTGCTCAGATCGCGATTTTGGGTTGTGTCCCTTGGGGCAGTTTACTTGACTTCTGTGAGCCTCAGTTTTCCCATCTGTAAAGTGGAGATTAAGCAAGTCCCTGCTTCACGGGGTTGTGTGGAGGATGAAGTGAGGCCCTGAGTCTCAAGGGTCCAGTCCTGCCTTGGATGAAAGGGTCTTCTCATTTGCATTTAAAAGCTCAGAGGTCTACTCTCCGGGGTGGGCTCCTGGGCCCACATGCCAGCCCCATCCGCGCTTCAATCCTTGGCATGTGTGGCTCTGAATCTGACCAGTCAGCTTCTTAACTAGACCATGAGCAATTGCAGGTGGCCGAGGGTGGCAGGGGGTGGGAGATGCTCTATCTCACTTCGTGCCCTTAGCACTGGGTGCAGGGGCGGGAGTAGGATGCCCCCAAGGAACAATTAATGCCTAGAAACAATGTCAGGCATGAAAACAGGCCAGTAGTGGGTGCTCAATGAATGTTAGCTACTGTTAAGTGCTTATTGAATGAAGAAGTTCCCTTAAGGACCCAGCTGAAAAGGCGGCTTATTAACCCAGGGCTCAAACAGGTAACGGCAAATACAAAGGGATATACAAGACTAAACCCAGGAGTGGCAACCACCTTCTAGCTGAACCACATCCCTGTATTTTTTTCTTTTTTAAGCTTTGTGAACTGAGTAGGCTTTGCACTCCAGCTGCCTCCTGAATAAGAGATTGCGCAAGGATATGGTAGGTGGGCGTTTTGCCCATCAGGACTGGAAGCGGAAGTTTCCAGGTGTGCACTTGGAGGGTGGATTTGAGGGACTGGGTCCAGGGCCTGAGGCCACAGTTCAATGCAGGAGCAACAGGCTTGCTTCAGATGGACAGTGGTGAGGGAGCAGAGGGCCCCAGATCCAAGTCTATGGAGGGACACTCCACCCCTGGGAATGGGGGTGGTAGCTACAAGGACCAGAGGGAATATGCAGGGGTCTCACTAGGCAGTTTTGCCCCCACAACTCCAGAACCTGGAAACCTTGTTGGTGGGTCTGCAGCATCCACACAAGCTTTTCTTGAGTCTGACTTATGTCCTGTTGGGAGATGGCAGAGCACGTTTGTGTCCTTTCGCTCATGTGAGCTTCAGGCAACTCTGGACGGCAAGTAGGAAGCCCGGTGAGGGTAGATCAACTCTCTATGAGATGAGCAAACCGAGGCCTGAGATGGGGAGGAACTTGCTCAGGATACAAGGTGAGTGCCGGCAGAGCTGAGACCAGGGCTATGCCACTGATTTTCCATAACGTCATCACCATAAACCCCCAAAAATCTCATTTCTACACCCCCAGTATTCATCATGATTCCTGGCATGTGGTGGGAATTGGATGAATGTTTGCAAATGAATGAATGAACAAATGAACAAACAGATGAATGAAAGGGTCAGTTCCACAGACCAGCATCCTGGAAGGCAAAGCCATGGTCTGTGGGAAGAGAAAGGAAAGCAACATTTATTGAGCAACTTCTATGTGCCAGGTATCCTCTGAGCATTCTTTCATTTGCTCCTCTCGGCAGTGAAAGCCCAGACCAGTAAGCTGCTTCTCCCCACAGGGAGCTTCCTCGGCGCCACTCAGGTCTTTGGTGTGGTTTCCCTTAAGATCCTGCATTGGGCCGGGCGTGGTGGCTCAAGCCTGTAATCCCAGCACTTTGGGAGGCCGAGACGGGCGGATCACGAGGTCAGGAGATCGAGACCATCCTCTACTAAAAAATACAGAAAACTAGCCTGGCGCAGTGGCGGGCGCCTGTAGTCCCAGCTACTTGGGAGGCTGAGGCAGGAGAATGGCGGGAACCCGGGAGGCGGAGCTTGCAGTGAGCAGAGATCCGGCCACTGCACTCCAGCCTGGGCGGCAGAGCGAGCCTCCGTCTCAAAAAAAAAAAAAAAAAAAAGATCCTGCATTGGCTTTGTCACCAGCGACTTTATCCAAATCTCATTCTGATTCTGCGCATCTTTTCTGCCTGGTGCCCTCAGGAGGGGGAATCCTGTTGTCCTCACTTGCATCTCCCGCACTCTGAACATCCGAGAGTCTGCAAGCTTTTAAGATCTATGGCCTCCTTGATTTTGCTTTCTTCTCTTTCCTCTCTTATGAGTCAGTGCCACAACCCCCTCGTCTACAGTCTCATCCTCTGGTCCACATCTTAGGGGTACCCAGAGCCCTCTTTCCAAAGCATAGATCTGCTGAAGGTACCCTTACCCTTGCTTCTAACTTTTTCACCTTTCCTAAAATCTACAGTATCATGCCCAAACTCAGCCACCTTCAAGGCCCCACCTTTCTGACTCCACTGGCCTCTTTCCCCCCCGACTTACACACCCCCACGGTAAGAGCTGATGCATAGTAGGTGCTCAATAAATGCTGTACTGAGCTGAGTTTCTCATTTAACCCCACAACAGCCCCATCAAGTGGCAGCATTGGTGACATGGTTATTTGAGTGCTATCTTGGAGGGGTTCGTTGAACACTTACGACTCCTTAGTGGCAGTCAGGCTTCAAACATAAGACTCCTAATTGTAAGGACAATGTAGCTAGGAAAAAGGGCTCGCGAGTTCCAAAGTCAGGTGGCCACTCTTCAGGCCCCAGCTGTGCGGTCCTTGCCAAGTCCTCTGAGAATTTTAATATGCTCCTTTTAAAATGGAGCTAATAAGTTCTCCCTTTGGGGGCCGTTGGGAGGATTAAGCAAGAGGGTGTTTACAAAGTGCTCGTGAAGAGTGCCTAGAACAGAAACCAGCACCATCTAAACAGCAGTTCCTTAAATCATTCCCATCAGTAGCCTCCCCTCCCGGTGCCCCCATCCTGTGCACCAACGGCTAGGGCTATTACCTGTCTGTGGCTCCCTGGGGGGCTGTGACTTCTGTCCCACTCCACACCTGGAGCTTCAGGGGTTTCTCTTCCTGTTGCCTGGGTTCTCGGCTTTGGGTCCTGGACAGCTGAGAGGCGTTGGACCTCACAGAAGTTTTGTGGGAGTTGCGGTTGGCAAGCCTGCAGCAGAAGAGCTGTTGGTACCCGGTACGGAAGTCTCTGTTCAGCGCAGCATACAGGATGGGGTTCAGGGCTGAGTTGGCATAGCCCAGCCACAGAACGATGGCTTCTAACACCTCATTGATGGCATCATCCCCTCTCAGCCCACGGTACACAAACGCGGTGAAGTAGGGAAACCAGCAGATGATGAAGGCCCCCATGACGGCGGCCAGTGTCACTGTGGCTTTGTGCTCCCTGATGGTGGCTGCCTTCCAGGAGCTAATGTGATTGATCCTCTTGGCCTGGTCCCGGGCGACCTTGAAGATGCGGTAGTAGGTGATGCACATGATCAGTAGCGGTAGGTAGAAGGTGACCAGCCCATCCACCAGCCCGTACACTTCATTGACCTGGACTTTGCACTTAGAGGTGGTATGATTGCCCTTGCTGGTCTCGTTCCTGCTGTTCCACCCCAGGTGGATAGACAGGAAGGACAGGGTAATGGAGATGACCCAAATTAAGACCAGAGAGATGGCGACCCGAACTGGGGTGACCAGCACAGGGTACCGCAGTGGGTCCATGACAGCGCAGTACCGGTCGAGACTGATCATGAAGAGGTTGAGAATGGAGGCTGTGCAAAGCATCACATCCAGGCTGGTGTAGATGTTGCAGAAGACCTTGCCGAAGCTCCACTTGCAGGACAGCTGGTAGATGGCAGAGAAGGGCAGCACCAGGAGGCCGAGGAGCAGGTCAGTGACAGCCAACGACACGATGAAGCAATTGGTCAGGTTGCGGAGCCGGCGGTTCAAGCCCACGGCCAGACAGACGACCACATTGCCAGCAATGGTGATGAGGATGAGGACCGCAAGGACCACGGTGATGGTGATCTTGCAGGCGGTAGACTCCAGGCAAAAGGAAGAGGCTGTGCCATTGGGTGCCATGCTGGGACCCTATGGCTGGGTCCCCTGACCAGGGCCCCTGGCTGCTGCTTCTCCGCTCCCAATGTGACAATTACGCCAACCACTGGATTCCAGGCTCCCAACAGAGCCAAAATGTGTCCAATTTTTTTTTTTTTGGCCAGGGGGTGGGGAAGGCTTCAATGACTGACTCTGGGCTGCTTTTCTAGAAATAAATTAAGCAACACCTTCTAAGGTGTTGAGAATGAATATGAATGAAGAATAGAGAAAAGCAAAGCCTTGAAGCCAGGTTCATGTATCAAACTCCAGTGTTCAGATGATCCCCTGAAGAGCTAGCTTCCTCCTGGGACTCGGGTAGGTCTCCGCTCCCCGGGTTTTGCATAGAATCCGAGGCACTGTCTGGCGGTGGCTTTGGTGTCATGCAGGATGGGTCATGTGGAGACACAGCTGTATCCCTCTCCATAGCTGGTGCCTGCTCCCATCTGCGTGATGGAGTCAAGTATTGGGGATCTCCCTCTCTGCAGTCAGTGGAGGGCAGGAGCTAAAAAGGCAAAGGTTGGATGTTAAGCACCTTGAAACCAGATAGAAAGCATGACCCGATTCAAGATGTATCCTTCTACTAGATCTCAACCTCTTGGCAAGACCCCAGGAAGTATGGGGCCAGTCTGGATACCTCTCTTTGGGAGGGACTCGGGCAATCAGGATACATAATGGGGAGGCAGAAGGGAGGCGGGATGCAAGGGGTTGGATACTGAGACTTGTGAGAAGAGTTGGAAAAGCTGGAAGTGCTTGTACTGAGAAAAGAAGGATCTAGACACAGACTTTCAGCTCCACTAGAAGAGGGCCTGCATCTGTTTGCTCCTGGTGCCTGGCCCCACAGACAGACATTAAGCGTCTGATGAATAAAGGATAAAATGAATGAATGAATAAACAAATGTAATGAATCTACTCCTCTGAAGTGCTGAGAACAGTATCTGGTGCTGCTGTTGGGCAAAATGTCATCATACTCTAAGGTGGTGGCCGACAAACTTTTTCAGAAAAGGGTCAGGTAATAAACACGTTCTGCCTAGCAGCCTGTGACGGCTCGGCTCTGCCTTTGCAGTGAGAATGCAGCTATGCAGATGACGTGCAGACAGAAGAGCGTGGCTGCACTCCAACAAAACTTCAGTAATGAACACTGAAATTTAAATTTCATATCATTTTCACGTGTCACAAAAATCTCTTTTTGATCTTTTTCCAAAATGTAAAAATGTAAAAACCATTCTTAGCCACGGGCTGTACAAAGCCAGGCAGAGGGCCAGATTTAGTCTGCAGTTCGTCACCTGTCATCCACGCCACCCCTGCTCTGAACACATCTCTAAATCTTACTGGTCTTACTTGGCAGAACACGTGATCCCACATCCAGGTCAGCAGGGACAGAACTCACTCAATCCTTCTAATGGTTGCATAACAGTCTGTGGGGAGGCTCACCATGAATAGGTTTATCCTATCTTCCCCATATCACCCTCTCACGGGCATTTGGGTGGTTTCTCCTTCCTCCCTTCCTCCCTTTGCACTATTGAAGTAGTGCAAATACTACTTCAATGAAGTAACTGCATGTGCAATGCCTCTTGGTTAAATAAGAGCCCCTGGTCACCAGATAATCTCCAAGGCGCCCTCCCAGTGGTGGCTGTATATGATTCCAGCTGGCCAGAAACAAGCGGAGGCCCTGCTCCACGCCCCGGTCCTTCCCTACCAGCTTCTCCTGGTTTTTCAGAGAGCAGGCAATCTCTTGAGCTCTGAGAGTGTGCAGAAATCGAGTTGACGGCGGAACCTCCTCTCAGAAGCAAGCTAATCTCCATAAAACATAAATTAAGCCTCTCCCAGGCTCTTGCCTGGAGCGGTTTGCAACCTGAATACGAGAAGCATCATTTAATCATAACGATTGTGTTCGTGCAGGGATCAGGGTTCCCGATCACCTTCTGCCACCCTCCCTGGCTCAGCCACCAGTCCTGGCAGCTGAACCTCCGGGTATTATTTTTAGCAGATCTTTTCATTATATAAATAGCCCAAACAGCATGGGTCTCACCGCCACACTTAATTAACTTTGGAGGGGGTAGCAATCAGGGTATTTTTTTTGAGAATCCCTATTTCTCATCAAAATTTTTTCTGACTTACCCCAACAGCCGGGTATAGGTATTTTGGCATCAGGCTGACATTTGAGTTATGTTTGGATGAGGGGTCTTCAAATCTGAGTGAACCAGCCTCTCCTATAATTAGAAAATTCTTTCCTTCTCTCCCCTCCCACCCCTCCTTCTCTTCCTCAGTCCTTTTCGACACACATTTCTCTGAAAACCCAGAATGTGTCAGATGCTTCTCCAGGTGCTGGGAGGACAATGGTGACCAAAACAGCTGTGAGTCCTTTCTTCATGGAGTTTTCAAAGAAGAACCACTTCTGCTGTATTCCTATTTAAAGCCCAGCTCCCGTAAATTCTGGTCACCTTTTTCGAGGGCGGGGGATTTTGTACGGCGCTCTGTCTCCCTCCCATCCTCTCCTGTCCCATGTGGGCAGAAGGATTGCCTTAGAGGGCCACGTCATCCCCTTACGGAGCAACCTTCAATGGCTTCTCTTTGCCTGTGAGGAAGAATCATGTCATCCTTGTCACCATCATTGTCACCATCATAGCTAACAAAAAATAGTCTCTCAAACTGTCCTTTCAAACTTCTCAAGTGATGACAGGCTTATTCCAGTAAGCCATGTACCCCTGAGGTGTACAGAAAGGGCCAAAAATCAGGGCCACCACACACCTGCGCCCCTGCACCAGGAAGTGACTGCTGCTGACCATTTGGTATGTGGGGGCCTCCTGCGTTTCTCATGCCTCTGCATGCACATGGACACACCCCAGGCACTGTCCATACACAGCATACACGCTACTGAGCAACTGCTTCTCCTTCACTTCTTTTAAAATTTCCAATATATAATGGATGGCCCTCTAGGTCGCTTAGATCTAAGCCATCCTTCAGGGAGCCCAGCCTATGGCAGTGCAACTGCTGTCATGAGGATATGTGCACAAGGATGTCCACTGGCAGATGTGCAATGGCAAGAATGGAAAACAATCTGAGCTGCCATCTGCAGGGGGAAGAAGTTTCAACGAATCACGGCACAACTGTCCTGCAGGATCGTCCTGGGCAAAGCGACACCACACATAGTAAATAAAATATTACTGAATCCTCACAACCCCACGAGTGAGGAAAATCATTGTCTCTGTTTAACGGTTGAGGAGACTGAGGCTCAATAGAGGCCAGGTGATGTCATGCCCCTAGAGAGTGGCAGAGCCTGGATTCGAATTCAGCTCAAACTCCTTTGGCCTGTATTTAATGCCCATTCTTCGATCAGACTTCAACCTGTCTTTCCAACAGGGTCTCACCCAGCACTCCAGCATCTGCCTGTTAATTTCACAGACTCTCGGGCAACCGAGCATGTCCCCAGATGCAGCATGCCTTCTCCCTCCTGTCTCTGCATTTGCGTCCCCTATGTCTGGTGCTTCACTCTTCCTTGCATTTACTTCAACCACTCTCCTTTCAAGGCCCAGCTCAGGTACCTGTCTCCTTGAGTCCTCCTAGATGCCTAAAAGCAGGAGTAACCTCTCTGCACTTTGTACCGAGTTAGATTGTACAGCACCTGCTGCCTTGTAGCATTGATCTGGCTCTGCGGTATTTAATTCTGGAAAGTGCCAGGCCCATTCTGATTCTGTGCCTTTGCACATGCTGTTTTCACTGCCTGGAAGGCCTTTCCTTACCTAGAGAGCTCTTACCCTTTTGTCAAGCCCTGGCCTCCTCTGTCACCTCCTCCAGGAAGTCTTCCAGAGGTAACTTCTCCATCCTCTCTCACTTCTACCTCCCTTGTACTCACCTCAGGCAGAGGCTTGTGCTTTCTGAGGTGGACAGAAAGGGGGTGTTTTTTTAATCCCATTGGGCAGAGTGTTGAGTTTTCAAGGCCTTGGGAGCACTCTCTTCTTAGTGGAGTCCTTGGTGATTCACCATGAGAATGTGTCTTCCCAGGAATTGAGTTGTGGTGAAACACAAAATACCACTCTTCTCTTCTATCCTTCCACCTGGTGGTGAAGAGGACCAGGGCTTGGAGGGTGAAGCTCTCCACAGAAAGAGGTAGAACTTGGCAGACTGCCCCAGGTCTGCCTGATGCCACAGCCTCCCTCTCACTACCCACAACCCATGAAACCCCAGAAGAAATGCCGCTGGTGTGCACTCAGTTTGAAAACCAGAGGGGCGAGGCCATCTAGAAAAGCAACCAAGCTGGGGACTGGGATGTGCTCCCCCTCCAAATTTGCCAAATCAAGTCCAATACTTTCTTTTCCCTTTTCAGCGGGAAGTGAAACCCCTTTTGTGGTTTAAGTACTTAAACCCCAGACACAGCCCTGGCAATTGCACCCAAGCGGCAATTGCACCCAAGCGGCCAGCAATTTGGGGGAATCAGTTAAGGCCTGATTGACCTTCTCACTCAGCCTGAAAGATAAATCTGATTTTCCAGGCAATAATGTACAACGGGAAAAGAAAATGGCATCCACGCAGCGACCACTGTGCCTGATGCCCCTGCTGGGCGAGCATCACAGCAACCCTGTGAAACAGGTGGTTTGATCCTTACTCTACAGAACGGACACCATGAGGAGTGAAGAGGAGCCCCTGCACTGAGAGCAAGGACTTGGACATTGGACAGATCTGGGTTCCAATTCCAGCGCTGTTGCTGAAATAGCTTTGTGACCCTGGGCACGTGACTTCCAACTCTCTGAGCCTCAGTTTTCTCATTTGTAAAATGGTGATGCTACTACCTTCTCCTTCACTTGATGGCTGTGAAATGAAGACAGTAAAGGGATGGAAAACCCTTAGTGCCCGGTACGTGGTAGGTTCTTCCCAATAACATTTTTGTCATTGGCTGAAGCTGCATGGCCAGCAAACAGCATTCATGAGCATGACACATACCAAGCGGCTTCCAGGTGAAGACGCTGTGCTGAGGACTGGGCTACAGCAGTGAGCACAGCAGACACATCTGGAGCGCCCAGCACAGGGGTGGGAGGAGACACAATCCGGGAACTACGGTGGAGCTGCTTATTGATGGCAGCTGTGCTAAGAGTTATCTAAAGGGAAATAGCACCGCCAGAATGTATCACGGTGTCGGTATGGAAGGCTTCCCCAAGGAAGCGACATTCGAGTTGAGATCAGTACAGATGGGAATGAGGTAACTGAGTGAACATGGGACAAGCAGAGTCCAGAGAGAACAGCTGCTGTGAACGTTTGGAGGAGAAAGATGGTGGGTTGTATCCCAAGAGCCCTGAGACGTCTCCGGCAGGTGGAGGGGAAGTTCGAGCAGAGGGTGATGTGATTGGAAGGTGGGAAAAGGGGCACACAGTCCCTGACCTCCTGCTGTGTATCAGGATTCGGCGGTGTGGCAGCTGGGGGTGGGCCGGAGCAGGTGGCTGCCCGGCACCGCCCAGTTCCTCATTCTCATGAGCTATTCATTCTCAGAACTTTTCCCCTGTAATCGAC